ACGGGGCAAATCGGTCTCAACGACCCCCCTCCCCCCACACTGATCTGCCGGGAACTGTGGTTGGGAGGTTGGGGGTCTTACTGGAGGGAGGGAGGCAGTAACTCTTAGGCAGCCGAGGTGTTAAGTACAACACTCGCCTCTAGTCTTATACATAGGCAGAAACGGCCACATCTTACAGTGGGGGGGGGGGGACAACCGCTCACCACCATCCCGAACTCGAGGCCGCCACTCGACACCTCAACCGACCACAACCAACGCTCCTTTAACACTGTGGGTCGCGTGATAATTTTTCCCCAAAGAATTTAATTTATCTGAGACTTTGTTACCGACATGGACTTGAAGAAATAAAGTTTAGAGTAATTATATGATCAAAATTAGTAACTTTTCATTATTATAAAGATGAATTTATTTTCACTCATAATTACAGTCAATCGAGCCGCTCAGATTAGTAGAGCAGGGTGTGGCCTTCGTGATGTTATTTACCTTCTCTGTCTATCCTGCCTTGACTTGCTTCCTGCCTTAATACCTCTCGCTAGCGGGGTGATGGTCCAGAACAAAAGACTCTTATCTCCCAACTTTATACTCTTCCTTGTATTTATTTTATTCTTTATTAGTTTAGTGAATTCATACCTGACCAAGATAGGATTTGATTAACGAGTGAAGCTGTATGGAGGCTTGTTCACTCTCCACACCACTACCTCCGTCACACATAGATCGGTAATGTCAGCAACTCATTACATTCCTACATTTTTTCTGGGAATTTTACTGAGCTGGAGTAGTTGTCCAGACATAAAAGATTTTTTTTTTCATATCTTCAGTGTATTGTGGTGAAACAGTGTCTTCATGTGACTGTGACATTGTTTTAGTTTGGTTTGAGAGAGTGAAGACCTGATGCGGCGGAGCTTAACAGTGACAAGCCTAAAGTTTGAGCTAACGTTATGTGTAACTAAGGTTTCCTCTTAACTGTGAGGACAAGTTTTAGGTCTGCTGTAGCAAAGACGTGCATTAACTAAGGTTTTATCTGTCCTCTTAAAGAATATGACGGACCGAATGTCTTACTTGACTTTTAAGACCATTGTTGTTAAGATCTTAGGTGAACTCTTAGAACATGATGTAACGAAGGTGTGATGTGACCAGGTGAACACATGATTAACATGACTAAGAAAAGAGCTCTTGTAAGGTGACCTGTCGTGTCAGCAGGTGTGCTCACCACATAACAAACCACCTGGGTGAATATTAAGTTCTCGCTGGTTAGTATTAGTTACATAGTGTGTGTTTACCTCATGATGGCCGTCAGTGTGTACAAGAGTCAGCACACCAGGTAGTTTATGTTAGGGACGATATACCTTAATGTAGAGGAAAATACAGGTAGAGTGATTTACGGTGAGGTAGTTATTGGTAATACGAGAATTATTTATCCTGTACCATAGTTTTTTCTGCTAAACACCTCGGCCCCTAGAGATTCATTTGCTAATTTAATTATATTCCCGTATTAATGTTAGGTTGGTTGTCCAGGGCGTGAGGTGGATGTGACACAAATAGCTCTCTCACGGTCGACCTCGGTTGGCTGCCCTTCACCTTCAGGTAACGCCCGGACACTAGTAAGGTTTCACTAGATAGAATCTTTTGTCAGTACTCACTCGCAGACGGCTCGGTACAAAAGCACAGAATGTTCTACCGTGTGTGAAGAAGTGGAGTTGATGTGGTAAGTTTCACATCCTCACTGTAGCTAATGTTTGTACTACTGAACCAGCCCTGTTGAGAGAGAGAGAGAGAGAGAGAGAGAGAGAGAGAGATCACAGTCGTACTATAATCAGTCTGGTTATCAGATTTGGCTGAGTTTTCTCCCCTATGTTACCTTACAGAGGTACGCGACCCCTTGAAGCACTGCCAGTTAGGAGTTGGCTAATGGCCTCACCTCATACTCAAAGGTTTATAGGTTAAATTTTCCTCGTAGCTAAGTGAGATCGCACCTCTACTGGCTTATGGTAGACGGTGGAAGTGGGGTCAAAATTGCTCCAAAACACGAGGTGGTCCAGATGCGTTCTCCCACTCCTGCACGCCGGGGAACTACCGAGGCAGAAATCTTGTTGGGGGCGGCCCTGGGTACACCACAGCTCGTATTGGTTATGGTATTTTAACATTAAGTTGTGGCCAGTTTGAACATTTTGCCAAACATTAAGATTGTGACTCACTGGACATTGCTACCTTTCCTGACTCTGTGTGTGAAGTAACATAGGAAAGCTATGAACACCAGTCATATGTGTTTCAAAGTTTAGGAAGTTTGAGGAATGTGAAGATATTAATAATTATATCCCAAGAGACTTCATGTTTTGACCCATCATCATCATCATCGAGTCATCCACCTCTGTAGCGCGACACTGTGAATATGACCCCAGACCCTCGGGACACACACGAACCTCTTGAGTCTAATGATGGTGTTAGTTTCGACCTTAATGAAGCCGTTGTGACGAAACAAGTTCATTATCATATCATCGAGAGAACGGCGCGAGGGGCAGTAAATATCGACCGTCCTACCTGCAGAGATGGGCTTTAATAGTCTTGTTGAGATCCTTGTATCACTGCTTGTTACTTACTTGGTCGCGGTAACTCTTCGTTCAGTGTGGCAGCGAGAAGTTGAGCTACTCGTAACTCAGTACTACTCATGGCTTGGGACTTCATGTATAGTGTTTTGTTGACATACTGGTAACTCATATCCAGGTGTTCTTTATTACTGGAGGACAAAGTTATTTTTTGTCTTTGATTCTTAACGTTTACTCAAGTATTGCTGGTGTGTGGAGGCCGAACACCGCTCACCACAGTACGGTAATAACATAATAACAAGTCTTAGTGTGGGACATCTTCGACTCACAATATTTATGATTTCTCCGTGACCAGAACACACTTGGTTCACCTTGAGTGATAGGGGCTAGGAGGTGGGTAGAGAGAGAGGGAGGGTGAGAGGGCAGGTTATGATGATGTTATAGGATCTTCAGGGACGTCATCCGAGACCTGTGGGAGCATTGTTTGGCCTGGTGAGGGTCAGGTCAGGGGGGGTCCTACTCAACCCACCCACACTGACACTCGCAGTAACAAGAGACGTTAACTAGCTTAATGGTGTCAACTTGTAGTTATATTGGTGTGATGGTTTATGGTGAAGGTCAGTCGGTGGTGGCAACTGGCGGACACGCACACTGCTACTGTGAAACTTTACTGGTGGACACTGACGCGCGAGAGAAGGGTAATTAAGCGTGTGAGGTGTGACGCCGTGTTACACCAGGTGCGCACGGAGAGGAGTCGTCATGTTGTAAGCACTGTCGCTAATTCTTCCCTTTCATGATTTTCTTAATGTGAAGAATTCTTAAAAACTTGACCAAACAACAATAAAAGTTATTTATTTGTGGTATATAAGAAAATGCAACAAGATTATGGATAGTTTCTTAACATATGTGTGACTTTTGGGTTATCAGTAAACACAAACAGGTTGATGACACTAGCGGCTTTCATCACTCAGCTGGATTAAGACCACACAGCAAGGATATGAACAATACGTGAGGAGATAGTTGATTTATCTTAATGTGGCAATACCAATACAGTACATGTGGTGTATCTGTTGCCATTGACCCGGTGTTGACTCGTGACATGTGGTGATGTTTGACGATAATCCCACCAGGTTAAAGTAAATAAATAACATCAACCAATCAGGAAACACAATTTATAAAGTAAATAAATCCGCGCTGCTGCTCCTCGCCTCTGTCAGCTGGGGTAAAAATAAACTTATGTTTTTTTCACGTCACTTATCATCTGTAGGTTGTGATTTATAACCGAATAAATAACTTCAGTAGCTTGAAAGTGATTGTTAAAAAATACGCTCACAATATTGATTTTAACCTTCAGTCTAGTTATCCTATTTCACGTGGCTTCTCCTAAGGACTTGTTGGTGAGTTATGCCCAGACCTCTAAGGGACGCTGTTAGGGCTGGCTCAGGGCGTTGGAAATGTATCTTCTAAGACATTTAGTTTTAAGTAGCCTAACGGAGGCTCTTAATGGTCCATATGTCTTGTATGTCAAAATATCGTGAAATTCTTGGGCCTGAGTGGGAAAGTCATCATCTGTGAAATTTATTAAGTTGTCGAGTGGAAGACAGCCTAGACCCCAACACCCGCCTCACACATCTTGTCAGGGGCGGTTGGTGTTGTGTCGGCCAGCCTGTACACGAGAACCTTAGGTGGATCCCTCGCTCACCCTATTCAGTGCTTGGGTAAACATAACTACATCCCCGGCAGCTAAAAGGAATGTTTTTTCACCAACAAAAGAGTCGGCTTTAGGTTGGTTCTAGGAAGGGGTGTTTCCTCCGGCTATTAACTTGACAGGGACGTTAGTGTTTCCGGCAGGCAGACCAGACCAGACCGTCACTGAGGCGGTGGATGGTTCCTGCGCTAAATGTTAATAAGTTTGTTCTCGGTGACTACTGGCCGGGTGGTGGAGTAAGGCTGTGTGGGTGGAGTCGTCTGTATTACTGCGAGTGGCGGCGGAAAGTTGTGATAGTTCGTTATTCAACTTGTCTTTAACAGCAGGAAGCCACGCCGGGACAGTTATGATGAGACACTGGGGATTTGAAAACCAGCTGCGCGTTCTTCAGTGCCGCCAACTACAGCGGTGGGGAGAACCTTACCTCAACCGTTGACGACAGCTGAGACTCGCGTGGCAGCACTTGTCTTGATAGTAATAGGGGACATCTGGGATTAAGCTAATTGTAATTTATCCAATTTACGGCGGTGAGTGCGGGGGTCGAGGGCTGTCTGGCCTGTAATTTGATCTTGGCTAATGGAGATGTTGATTGTGGTACTGGAGAATAACCGATGTTGAATTACGTATTCCTATTTTATCTGTGCTGTAGTGTTATCAGTTTATTAGAAGGGAGTGATCTAGTGTGAAGAGAACGGTAACAGTTAAAGGAATAGATAAATATTATAACCTTGGTTCTTTTCTCTCAACAGGCGGCAACAGACATCATCAAGACTTCTGGCGGTGCTTCACAGGGACGGCGGGTGAGTGTAGTCCTCAGTGTTTACATGTGTTGTGCCTCTGTGTTGGTTAAGTCGACGGGGGTGTGAGGCTGAGGTTGTCTACCACTCCAGTTTATACAGGTAGCTAACTTATGGTGGTTAACTTACAACAGAGGTCTGACGCACGGTGTTAGTTTTGACCTGTGTGAGATGTTATGCCAAGGGTTGTCCACTAGCAGGAGCGCTGTTCAGTGAGTAGCTGTCTTCTGTGTTAGGTACAGCTGTTCCCTGATAATAGTAAGTATTGTGTGAGGCAGTACATGAAGTGCCTTTGTTGTGATGAGGGCAGGCATAGCACGAGTGAGTCAGGGGATGAACACTGCCACCCGATACAATTTTCAGCGCGAGGCGGATCGTCTACATCTCCCACCAGTTACGTCACTTGTGTTCGTCAGCGGGGAACCCAACACACGCCGGCTCCCACAGCTTCACTACTCTTATGTTTTGCAATAGTTTACTCCCCCTATTATAGTAGTTAATGACGACCAGCGTGTGTGAGGTATTGTACTGTACACTCTCACTTTCGGAGTTCTCATCTCGTGGGACCTGAAGGCACTGTGTGAGGGCGAGTGTTGGCCCATGAGAACCTCTCCACCACAAAGTCTCTATGGATGTCGTGTCAGAGTGTGATGCTGACCTTCAGATATTGTAAACTATGATAAGGAACACAACGTTAACCTTTAACTGTTTCAACGGCTAAGTCTGACACCACCGCCTGCTATGTCAGTGTGGTAGTGAGTATTGTGGCGTGTGTGGTGGCCTGTAACGCCGACTTTTCACCCTCACTCGTAGTAATTTTCACGGGTTCAAGGCTGAGTTCACCACGGCCTAAATACACGTTGTCTGTACTGGGTCCGTCTTGTGTGCTCGGCGACCTCCCTCTAACCTCTTCTATCCTGTGGTGGCCTCCCTCTATCCTGTGGTGCCCTCGCTCTAACTTCCTCTATCCTCTGGTGGCGTGGTGGGCCGTGGTCACCAACCCTCAGACACGGGGATGATTACCTGGACTCATTAATTATCCTGTACTTTATCTATTGTACTCTCGGACCTAATTATTATGGTTATTTATTTTTGTTATTATTATTATTATTAGTAGTAGTAGTAGTAGTAATAGATTTACAGTAGTATTTTATTTATTGTTTTCAAGTTGGAAAGATGAAAATTAAAATCCTATAGTTAATTTAGAGAGAGAGAGACGCATATTGTCCGTCACACACGTAAATGTATCAAGCCTGTCGTAAAACTATTCAGATTCCTCTCATGCACTTCATTCTCGCCCAGTAAATACCAGCTGTTAATTGGCTTCAGTAATGCTACAAATATTCCTTACATCCACGTGTGTCCGGTGTGTGTGTGTGTGTGTGTGTGTGTGTGTGTGGTGTGTGTGTGTGTGTGTGTGTCGGTGTGTGTGTGTGTGTGTGGGTGTGGGTGGGTGTGTGAGGGGCAGGTGAGAGTAGCCAGGTAGAGAGGGGGGGCAGCGTGGCGCACCTGGTGTCCTGGTACAGATATTATGTGGCCGGAAGTGGTGAGTTCCTGTGAGGTGACTCGCCTGACCGACAGTGTCTGACTCCTCACCTCCACCACCACCACCACACACTACTGCCATCACTACCACCACCTCCACCACCACACACATAACTACCTCCAACCACCATCACTACCACTACCTCTCACCACCATCACCACCACACACTACCTCTCACCATCACTACCACTTACTACCACACACACACCCGCCACTACCTCTTGCCACCACCAGCAGTATTACCACCCACCAATACACTGTAGTGACGCCCCACCATCACCACCACGTCTGTGTTAGGTACAGGGCGTCACTTCCGCCCCCAGACGAACTCTTCTAGAAATGTCCAGCAGTCACGTATATTTTTTAAGTCGGTGAGGAGAGGGACTTGTCTCTTTCTGGGCGCCGTGCAGTTGTTACAAGTCAAAGATATATATTTGTATGTATTTATGGATAATATGTTGACTCGGTACAACAACCAGTAGATAAGGTGTGTTTACCGGATACGTGTGGTGTGGTATGGCTGTTGTTGTTGAGTGAGACGCGCGTATAAGGTGCCCTCAGGTGGTGAATGATCACAGCTGAGCCTCACCAGTGTGATTCAAGAACTACTTCAGGAAGGTACTTTGATGCACCCTGACTCCTCCACCAGCAAGGTGGCCTTTTGCTGTGGGGCAGGAGGGAGGCGTGGTGAAGGTGACCCAAAGCTGTGGAGGAAGGAAAGGGGTGACTGAGTACTGCAGGAGGTGGTGAGGGGGGACACCCTGTTGCCGGTTGTGGTTGATAGCAAATGGTGTTACTCTGGCTTAGAATGTAACGCAAGCTTGTAATGTTTATGTATATTTCTATGTGGTAGGAATAGGGTGATTGTTAGAGTATTGTTTTATTTAACTGTTGTTTGAGTGGCGATTGTTAATGTTTGATTATTGTTGGTTGTTGGTGTTTTTTGTCAATATATTGTGCATTCCAACATTGCGTTTGCTATTCCTCTCCTATAGTGATGTAGAATACCTGAGCAAGACTGAACAGTGCAGTAGCAATAGGCCAAACATGAGGTGAAATGAAGGTAAACAGAACATTCGAGTCTGTGGGGGTCGGTTACCGCCCGGTTCCTGGTAAGGTGTCCAGCTCAGGAACAGCTAATAATTTTTTTTTGTACCAACTGTAGAAACAATACTTTGTGAGTCCTGTCTTTTTTAATCATTTTTTTTAAGGCAGATGTTTGAATAAGCCTAAAGCTGGTGAACGTGTGTGTGTTAGTAGAGTAAGATATGTGAAGCGTCCCTCCCTAGGCCAGTGTCTATATCGTGAGAAATAACAAAACTGTCCAGCCAAGGTGTTCATCATGGGACCCACGACGGGGATGTGGTGTAAAAGTGGATTCGACATTTGTTAAGAGGAAATGACACACACACACACCATAAGTGATGAGTTGCTATATTTTTCACGATGTTTTTGTGATTTATGTGAGACACGACAACAGTGGTAACCTTGGTGGCTAGTCTGCGTCACGCTGCCTGGCCCTGAAACACTGCATTCTGGCGTTTGGTGATTTTTATTAGTGTGTGTCAGGTGTGGGGGTCGTGTAGTTCCAACAGGTATGGCAGAGGGTTTTGTACGCGTCCCATGATTCCAGGTAAAGAACGTGACACACACACACACACACACCTGGATTCACACTTGCCAACCTAACAAGACTGTCTTCCCGTTCGCCGCCCACTTCCGCTGCCCCACCGATTCGCACCCTATACCCGCCCGCCGCCCACATACCCTGGTCGTAGTTGGTCCATACGTTAGATTCACCAGAGCGAGAAACCGACACATGACGAGCTATTTCTGACTCGCAGGTCGGAGGTGGCAGCGACACACACACACACACACACACATCTCGCCATCCTTCATCCTAAACAAACATTCATCATCAGAGTAGCGTCGGGGCCCTTCAAAGTTATACTGGTGTTACCTTTCTCATCCTGGAGTCATCACCTGTATAGTGTAGCGCAGTGTCAGGCCTCAAGACCCGCGAACTTACTTTAACCTCGAGGATTGGGGGCCCAGTTACAATCAGGAACCGTTTGACCAATCACTTAACTTCGCCAACCTGGAGGAGGAGATAAGGTGCGTGGTGGTGTGTAAACAAACCCTGGAACCCCCCCCTTTCCCTTCTCACTCCTAGGTAAAGGGAAAGTCACCTTTTTACCTGAGCATTTTGATAATTGATGTTTGTTAGTTTTTAGTCCAGATGTGAGCCTGGTGGTGGTGGTGGTGGTTGTTGTTGTTGTTGTTGTTGTTGTTGTTGTTGTTGTTGTTGTTGTTGTGTTCTTTGACAATTATTTTTGCCGGGTATTTTGTATCTGTTTGTGTTGATGGCATTATATTCAGTATTTTTCCATCAATTTAGATATCGTTAACAAGAATGGAAAGTCGTTTTGATGAAGAAAAACATTACTGATTAGTACTGCTGTTCTCTTGTTTCTGAGACTTTACTCGCCAAAAAGATATCATCAAGAACCTCAGAGAAAACTTTGTGTTGTGTCGATATTATTCCGGTATCAATATAATTACGTAAGTCTTCGTGTTTGTCGGTCACAGCAGGTGTATGACGTCAGGGGTCATCTCATACACAGCGATATAACAGAGGTGGAGGAGAGGGTGATGGCCTCCGCTCTGTGTAAAAAAAAAAAAGATGTCTTGAGAACCTACAATATATTTCTTGTTTGTAGCGGGGTGGTCAAGTTAAGTGTTTCTGGTAGCTAAACAAACACTTTCTTGTTTATTTACAGTATGGTCAGTCTCTCCAGTTCCCTCAAGCAGGAAAAAAAAAGAGAATATTGTCCCATCGTGTGGTGTGTGTAGACTCCAGTCATTGTTGGTGTAGTACAGTAGAGAGACTCCTTCCTCCGTGTCTGTGGTCAGGTTATGGCACATCTTCTGTCGTGGGGAGGCCTGTGGAGCATCACTTCACGCTAGCCTCACACACCTCAAATATACGTCACATTTTGTCTGCCTTGTCCGCTTGTGTGTGGGCGAGTCAGTCAGTGGGGGCCTCGTGAACAGTACCGAGCGCGCCTCAGCCGACACACGCCAGGGTGTTTATGCCCAGGGGAGATACTCTTCTTGGCCCTTGAGGAAGACTAGCCACCTGTGTTGGCATTTTAGGGTGGATCTTTATCATGTGCAGGAACGATACAGCATCCGCTCTCACCAACATTTCCAGAACCAGTTTACGAGTGGGTATGTGTGTACGTGAGTGGGCGGGGTATGGTTGTGTACGTGTGTTGGCGTGGGTATGGTTGGGTATGGAGTGGGCGTGGGTATGGTTGTGTATGTGAGTGGGCGGAGTATGGTGTGTAGACGTTTGGGAGTGGGAGGTGAAGGGCAAGCATGTGAGCGAAGAAATACTGCAACTGCTTCCCCCATAAACAAGTTACGTCTCCCGCCACAGCTCAGCCATTACCGG